AACATTAATGGCACCAGAAATACTTCAAAGAATCAACAACTGGGATCTCATTTTATTAAAAAGCTTTTTCACAAAAGAAATCACCAATAGAATGAAAAGACAACCCACAGGATGGGAAAAAATTTAGCCTACTGTTCCTCAGACCAAGGGTTTATATCTAGAACATATAAAGAATTAAAAATAATCAGAACCCCCAAATTAAAAGACCTAATCCAAAAATGGGCATCTGAGATGAATACACACATCTCAGCTGAAGAAATACAGATAGCTAATAAATATATGAGGAAGTGTTCAACACCATTGGTCATTAGAGAGATGCAAATTAAAACAACAGTGAGATTCCATCTCACTCCAGAAAGAATGGCATCATCAAGAAATCAACCAATAACAAATGCTGGTGAGGCTGTGGAGAAAAAGGAATCTTTCTCCACTGCTGGTGGGAAGGTAGATGGGTGCAATCAACCACTATGGAAATCCATGTGGAGATTCCTCAAAAAACCATTATTTGAGGTCCCTTTCCACCTAGTTATTGCCCTTGTGGGTATTTTCCCCCCAAAATTAAAAACTTCATACCACAGTGATATGTGTGCACTCTTGATTATAGCAGCACAATTTATAATAGCTAAATCTTGGAAACAACCTAAACATCCATCAAACAAGGAATATGCAAAAAAAAAGTGCTCTTTTTATACAGCAGAGTACTACTCAGCTATAAAGAAGGATAAACTCGAGAATTTTATAGGTAAATGGATGCAACTAGAGACCATACTCATAAGTGAAATGAATCAGACTCACATGTGTAAATACTGTATTGTCTCCCTAGTGTAAGAAGCTGAAAGAATAAATAAAATCCAAAATGTAGAATGGGTGTTGGGGAATAGGAAGAAACTATTCAAAAGGAAAGAGAAACTGGGATGGGGGAAGGAGAAAAGAAGGAAGGAAAAAAGAAAAAATATATATATGCAAAATAGTTAAGATAGTTACACTACTAGTTTTTACTAGTTCATTGAAAAAAAGGTCTGTGCTTATATTGTTTGATCAATTTTTCATAACTAGATTTTGTAATCTGAACGACAATATACAATGCATTAGCTATTGTTACTCTTCTACTATCTCATTTTGAAATTTTGTATCATTGTTTTTACTGTTTTTTCTCTTAAAATTTAAAAAAAAACAGAAGTTGGGAGCCAAGCTGTCTAAGTCACAAATTCACTATAAGCATAGGAATAGAGTCATGAAATTTTATTTCTCTGTAGGAAGAGACTCCTATCCTGTGATATTTTGAAATAAAGCTTGTGAAGCTTAAAGACTTGAAAGTTTGGTCTAAGAATAAGTATCACAAAATTTGCTTTGTTCCTGGAAAAGTGATTTTGTGAGTTTCTGGATTCAATCCCCAGTACCACCAGAAAAAAAGAACAAAGATAAAACCTTGAAGTGGATAAATGCTCTAGGGATTCTCTTTATTCTGCATGTTAGGGACACTCAGAATATTCATGTACACTTCAGAGTTGTCAGTTTCTAAGAAATATTTTGCTTGGATCTATCATTAGGTTTGGAAGAATTTAAAATTAGCAATATGGATTCTTCTAATCCAAGATCACAGCTATCTAGTTACTTAGGTTATATTTAATATTGTTCAATGTTTTGTAGCTCTCCAGGTAGAAATCTGACACATTCTCAATTAAATTTATCTCTTTCACATTTAGGAAAAGATTTAGATAATATTTTAATATTTTGCTTTCACCTAAAATAGTTATTAATTTACAGAAAACTTGCAAAGACGATACAGAGTTTCTTTATGCCCCTCACCCGGTTTTCTTCATAGTCAGTGTCTCACCTTCTCTTTGGTACATTTATCACAAACAAGAAAGCAACATCAGTTCATTATCACAAGGTAAATTTCACGTGTGTGCAGGTTTCACTAATGGGGATGTTTGTTTTACTTTGTTTGGATGGTTGTTTGATTTTTTGGTTCTGGTTTTTCATTTCTCCTAGTAATGCTTTCTTTCTGCTCTGGGTCACACTCAGCATTTAGTCATGGTGTCTTCTGACGTTCCTCTCTCTCAACATTGTCAGTCTTATTTTCTGTTTTTTGTATCACCTTGACAGCTTAGGGAGCACTGGTTAGTTATTTTGCAGAATTCCCCTCAATGTTCTCATAGGCCTAGAGAGACAGACAGACAGACAGACAGACAGAGAGACAGGAACACAGACAGAGAGAGAGACAGACAGAGAGACAGAGAGACAGACAGAGAGACAGAGAAACAGAGAGAATGTGAAGAATATAGACTCAGTCTGCTGTGGTGGTCAGAGAATGGCTGTCAAGGGCTGCAAAGCTGCTGTCCTGCTGGGTCTCAGTGGCTGTCTGTACCTCCCAGTGTGAGTGTATCATATTCTGAGAATTATTCCAGCATCTAAAAATGCAAACCTTTTGTCCACCATGTGCACCAAGTGCAGGCCAACCCATCTCATTAGGGGTTCAATAAAAGTCACCGAGGTTATTTGCAATCCTGGAAGAAGCAGGCAGTGCTATTCCTACAAGAAGATGTATTAGTATTTTATGGGAGGTATAAGAGCTTTTTAAAAGATGATTTTGTCTATATGGGATTTTTGTTCACTTGCTGATTTTATACTGTACTCCTCACTTAAAACACAACTCTAGCATTTGCCACACAGAAAGACAGGCACTGTCTGCAGAAGCAACTAAATCTGGAAACAAAGGAGGCTGAGTGGTACATGAACACTTCTTCAGGGACCGGGCGTAAGAACATTCTCTCAGTTAAACTCAGTACAGTAATCCACTTTTATCCACAGGGAATATGTTCCAAGGCCTTCAGTGGATATCTGAAACCTCGGATAGTACCAAACCCAATAAACACTGTATTTTTTATTAGGCACAATAAGAAATTAGCAAAAATAAAATAGAAAAATCATACTAATGTACTGTAATAAAAGTTATGTGAATATGGTATGTCTCCTTCTTGCTCAAAAAAGTGTGACTTGAACATAGGACAGTGATATTACAACAGCCCATCTGATAACCAAGACAGCAGCTAAATGACTAGCCAGGGAGTAGCATACATAGCATGGATACACTGAATAAAGGGGTGAGTCAAGTTCTGAATCAAGAGGGACAGAATGGCACAAAATTTCATCATGCTATTCAAGATGACATACAGTTTAAAAGTTATAAAATTTTTCTTTCTGAAATTTTCCATTTAGTATTTTTGGATTTGGTTGACTGTGGGTAACTGAAACTGCAAAAAGCAAAGCTGCAGATAGCAAGGGTAATGCTATAATGTAGTACGCGTGATTTATTTTCATGTTTGCAAATATTGCCAAAGTCATGATTAAAACCAAAGACACTCTTAGATTTTCATGTCATAATAGAAAAGCAGTGGGCTAGAAGTCAGGAGATGTAAGTGCAACTCCCAGCCTTGAAGCTAATTAAGAGATGACCTTGTCACTGACTTAACATGATCATACCCTATCTGTAAAATAAAGATAAAATTGAAAATGCTCTGTTTTATTCTCATTGGAATATAGGAGGATTAAATAAATTAATAGACTTTGGAAAAGTAACAAGTGTTAAACATATATATATATAGATATAAAATAGTACAGTTAAATACATATATATTGTATATTACTGTACTATATATACAATTGCTGGCTGCACAGACTGGCAGCAAAGTACAACAGAGAAAAGCATTGGGATTATTAGGCCCATAACCTGAGTTGTAGACAAATCAGTACCTCTTACTAACACTGTTATTTTTGCCACTTCTCTCACACTAACTGAACAGTTACTCTTTGGGCACTGACGTGGTCCGCTTTTCTGTAACATTCCATCTGACTTCTTGCCTGTTCTTTTCTCACTTCTGGAGGAATCTGGCCCCAAAGATCGATTTGTTTTGTTTCCTCTTGTCTTGGACATCTTTGCATGGGTTTTGCCCACTATTCTACCCTGAGAGGAGTCTCACACCAGGCCCCAAGTGCTAATCGTTCTCCTTGGGCCTCTCTGCTCCACACCCCTCCTCCTGGACCCATCCTCACCAGCCCACTTCTTAGGTCTTGCCAATAGGTGGCGTTAGAGAAAGGATTCCTGCTTTTCCAAGTCAGGGTTTCTTTGGACATAGATGCAAACTTTTCCCAGCATTTCCAGAACCTTCTATGCCCCTTGAGTGGTCCGCACTAGTAGCTAAGTCTCTTCACCAGAGATATTATCACCTCTTCCTCAGTATCCCTCCCTCAGTGGTCTAACACTTGAGTCATTCGTTCCTACGTCAAACCTTACTCATTTGAAATTCCTGTGTCTTCTGTTTTCCAGACTATATCCTGCCTAATTAAAACTGGTTAAAATGTGAGCTATTGTCCCAAATCTGGGGGCATCTTATTCTTCAAAAGGTAGCTCATTCAGCACTTCACAAGATTCTATATTTTGAGGAGTGCATTTTGTGAATATTATTACAATGGTAACAATAGTCAAGGTCTGCTGTGTTGATCTACACCACACCGCACCACAGGATGAGCACACTGACCGCTTCCACAGGGAAGGATGTGAATGGAAGATGGCTATGGTATGATTCTGAGACAGAGTTGTTTTTTTCATTTAATAGGCCCCCTTCAGTCACTTTCATGAATAAGATCGTATACTATTAAGTAGTACCATATATAGTAAATGGGTATTGCCAAAACACGGCAGAATATAAGAAAATAGATTAGTACATACATGCACGTATGTGAACACATATCATTCTGAAATTCTTTGCTCCATCGTTTTTTCTGTTCCAGCAATTACATATATTTGGCTTTTTTTCTTAACATACATAAAATCAACAAATAAACAAAAGCAATTAGAAAACAACAATCACCCCCAAACAGGAGTATTTCTAACTCTAGAAACTCCATTCTTTAGAGTGCTGGGGCAGTGGGACTCCAAGTTGTCACCATGAGGTTTGAAAACAAGACTCGACAGAATTAGTGACTTGCCTGTTTACCTGGGCAGCAAGTGGCAGCTGGGCAGAGCTGACTTTCCATCACTGTGCATTCACCGTCTCCCTGAAGCCTGTGCCCTGCTTCACAGGCCGCCAGCGTGCACCTCCTTGAAAGAATGCAGCTGCCCCTTACAACCTGAAACAGGGCACTCAGCCTCTGCTTTAGTAAGTTAGGACTCTGTGAGTTTTACTTTCCCCTCCCCTGAAGAAGAAAGTTATTTTCAAACCTCCATCTGTTTTGTGTTTAACGTGCAGAAAGGTTGCACATTTTCAGGGACCTTGTTCATAAGCAGTAGATTGTACAACAGTTTATTACACAAGTGGAGGTTTTTATTGCTGGCCTTTGTTGGGCTGCCAACTGGGAGAGAGAACATAACGTGCTCAGCGGTCCCTATCAGGAGAAATGAGAAAGCATTAAATACCAGTCAAATCGTCAAGCATTGAAAAGCTGGTAATCAAATCCAGAAATGCCTGGAGCTCAGCTGGTGAAAATGATTTTTCTTATTAATATTATTTTTACTTTCATAATTGTTTCACAAGTCATTTAGGTCACAGGCGGGGTCCCCCAAACAGTATGTGAAAAGTATATCAAAGGGGCTGGGGATTTAGCTCAGCGGCAAAAAGTGCCTGCCTGGCAAGCGCAAGGTCGTGAGTTCGGTTCCCGATACCGGAGAAAAACAAACAAACAAAAAAGTATATCAAAGACCAAATAAACGTTTGATCAAGAAAGACCCAAGTCCACCTCAAAATCCTGATCAATGCAGGACATCAAACTGTAATTCTATGAAGAGCTTTACATATGTGTGTGTGTGTGTGTGTGTGTGTGTATTTTACACCATATTATTGAGGCCATCAGCTATGCAAATACATGTTCAAGACATGGTAAACCTTTTACTTTGCTCTGACCTATATCTCCTATACTCCTAAGCGGGAATATATTTTACTACTGCCTCATCCCCCAATTAGAAAACATCCTCAAGAAATCCTAGAGAAAACTGTACCAGAACAATTCCCACTGTAAAGACCAGGGCCAATGGTGATAGTTCACTCTGGCATCTTCATTTCCATTTTCCAAAAAGACCATCACATGAAAGCTACTGGAAACCCAGAAACATCCAATAACTAAATATTTCTCAACCAAGACTCTACACCAGATTAAATTAAATTCTCGGATTGGAGAAGGATATTGGAATGTTTTCAAGGTAATTCTTATCATTGACTCGGGCTGAGAGTCTCAGATCTAAACCAACTGTCTAATTTTACTGGTGGAGGACATTGAACCTGGAGAAGTCACTGCTCACAGTACATTATTTTTTTTCTTAAGGAAGTATTTTCACCCTGGTATTCTGCAACTTTGCAACTTCATGTCCCCAATATCTTAACCCTTGATTTACAAACGCAGCACTTTGGAACCTAACTCGGTTTTCTCCTTGCCTACTATATTCACAAATAGACAAGATGCAAATTGTTTCAGCACCAGCAGCTCAAGTGTCCCCAGGAACGCAAAGGATGCTGTTAGGCCACAGGAAACTGTTAGGCTGACCAAAGGACTCACTTCCTCCTCTAGATGGTTCATGGAGAACGGAGTCAGGAAGTGGCTCTTAAATTTGAAGAATATTCAACTTTATTCCTCATTATTAGTCCACGATTAGGTTTCCTATCTGTTAAATAAAAGTCTCATATATACCTGGCTGCTTACATACATATTACTGGCTCCCTCATCACTTCCCAAAACGTTGTAAGTTGGACACTAAATTGTATGTCAAGCATTTCATAACAAAAGAAGGAGCTGTGGGTCCCCAGTATGAAGCTAGGCTTAATTTCCTACAAACGCAAATCTTTGGTTTATGACCAGAACCGTCCCAAAATGTTACAAATTGGACAGCAAACTATGTCTACCTGACCCTACATTAGCCCCACCAAAAGTGTCCTGCAGTCCCTGAAACCAAAAGATTCAGCTGTCACTGAAAGATCCTCTTCAGCCTGAGAATCTCAAGCCTTTCCCAGCCCATCAGCCACATTCTAATTGAACTGGTGCTGTGAGTCTGATAAACAATGTCCTCAATCTGATGGACAGCTAATACTCAGGGGGACATTGGTCAGTAGCCTTGGACTCCTCAGCCTAATCGCCCTAGTTTTAATGCCACTTAAATCAGAATGTAAGCACTGAAAGAATTTCAGGAATCTGATGATATAAATTGTATTTTTAGACCCGTGAATGACTCGAGCCAGTGAAACAGTGCAGTGACTAAAGATAGTTCTCTTCAGTTTTCCCATGATTTATCACAAGCAAGTTCACAGCAGGTTAAAGTAATTGAATGCTGTGATAACATACATACTGGCATGGCTCTATGAGCAGCCATTCATAACATATTTGTCACAAAGCATAATTTCCATGATAGGACTTTCATGGGTTGTTTTTTTTCTTTTTTTCCAGCAGTAAAACTTTGAATAACTCCTTCGTGGAGGCTGGCTACGTTTTCACAATGTCGGATCCCAAGCTACGCTTCGGGAAAAGGGATCCAGGAAATGATTATCCCACCAAATAAAATGTAAGTATATCCTGACAAAATGCTCACTTGTATTAGCAGATAAAGAGAAATGTTCTTTGTAGGGATGATTATTATTCAGGGGCTGTACCTTATAGATTCTATTTCTTACTACTTCTTTTCCCTCACTGTTTATTTCCCATTTGTCTCCTCAGGCACTTTTTCTTCTACTTATTAGCTGTATCCCCTGGGCAAGTAATTTTTCCACTCTGTAATCAAACGCTAGAATGTGGAGAAAATATAAAATGACTCCATAGTGATACTGTACAAAGTAAAGAGAGTGAGTGTGTGGGTACACATGTGTCCCAAACTTGACTATATAAAGAAATGCAACTTTCCTTATTTTTATATAACTTTCCTTCATTTCTATGTTGAGTTCCAATTTGGCTTAGTTATGGAGATGTAATCCCAGTCAAATCTGTGTCCTCATCTAAGCCCCAGGGAAGAAACCGGACCTACCTGATTTCCCACCTCCAACCCTGTCTGGGAGTTCCACGGCTGTCCCACCTGGGGATGCCGGGCTGCAGAGCATGTAGTAAAGGTTTTCCAGATCGCTTCCCAGGGTCTCCACCACCATGTCAGTGTCCTTAGTTTTTCTGACTCATTTCTTGCTCGTATTTGAAGACTCTTGTCTGGTCTGGAGAAAAGCATTTCTAGCTTTTCATCTGATCTTTGAAATCTTTGATTTATGACCAGAACCTGGTATTTGATCCTCAAAAGCTAAGAAATATGTCCCTCTGTTATCTTCATTTTGATGGTTTTCCCTTCCCTGAAGCTTTACAGAAGGCCTAGCTGCTTAATGGGGGAAAACACAGGAAATAGCAGAGACAGCCTATGGGCATGTATCGCAAAAGAATTTCTCAGTATATATACAAAGCACCAAGAAGGCTTGGCACATGGCTGGAAGCCATCAAAGGTGACCCTATGTTTACACAAAATTTCAAAGTCAAGTTCCATGCTTCCTAGCTCTGTGTCCTGCAAGTTGTTTAACCTTTCTGTGTCTCAGCTTTCCCATCTGTAAAATGGGATTATAGTTGTATCTATCTCACAAGGTCATATGTTTGTAAAATGCTCAATGGAACTACACAGTTATTACCACCACTAATACACATTTGCAGCCATTAAATCCATTGGTCTAAAGCCATTGGTTATGTTGATATGGTTGTCAGAGTGTGTGAGAAATAAAGAAGGTGAACATATCACATCTAGTATTTCATAGCAAAAGAAAGAGCTGCTGGCCCCAAGTATGAGGCTAGGATTAATGTCCTATAAGTGCAAACTTCTGATGGAATCTGACAGAATAACCCTGAAGGTGGCTTAAAAAGGAATTAGCCAGTGTAAGTCAAGGTGGCTTGAGATGCTGGCGTGGACAAGCAGCTTCTCCTGTAGTTCCAGTGTGAATCTGAAGTGGGACCCACACTTGCAGTGCAGGGTGTGAAGAGAAGGATGAGAACCAAGGTCAGGAAGGTCTGGCCATGCTGGAGTGAGGAAAGTGCCTGAGTGACTGTTGCTAAAAGTTGCTGGAGAAGAGAACACGCACAGGACCTCTCACCAGATAGGAGGTCAGCGAGGGATTTTGCTGAGCAAAGTACTGCCTAGGGGAGCAAGGCTTGTAAGGGGACACTGAGGGAGAGACAGTGGTGCTCCGATCCCCAGTCTGCGTAAATCTCATTCTCTAGCCTGAAGTGACCTTAACCCTAGTATCTGCCCTTCTTTCTAGAGCTAGCCTGGTCAGGTCCTCCTGACCCACAGTCAGGATGGATGAGACAGTGGAAAGAGCAGCACATCAGAAGTCAGGAGACCAGGACTCCAGCCCCAGCCAATGGCAAACTAGCCTGTGACCCTAGACAAATCTCTTCTGCTTTCTGGACCTTCGGGCCTTCAGGGAGGAGGCAAGACTAGATAAGAGCAACCTGGTACAGTTTTATATGTGGTAGAGCTAGGTGTGTGGAAGCCGGAAGGACAGCAAGATGAGTTGTGGTTTTGCCATTTTTCAGAAGTGTGAATTTATTTCATCTCTCTAAGCTCCAGTTCCCTTGTCTATAAAGATGGAAGTAACTGTAGCACTTCCCTCAAGTGATTATTTTGAAGTAAATTCAAGAGTGTATAGGACATTGTTATGGTTTGTGTCTGGATGTCCCCCAAAGACTCATGCAGTCATGGGGCGAGCTTCTAGAGTTTGTGATTGATTCATGATCCAATGTTGGGATTATGGGTGTGAGTGCTACACCTGCCCTGGGGCGGGCAGTTTGCATACGATGTAAGGGAAGGAAAGAGGCTTGCTGCTGCTCCTCCCTTTTGCTCTTGTTGCTTTTGCTGTGTTTTGCCACCAAACTGCTGCCCTCTGCCATGTGCCACTCTGCTTTGGAGCCATCCGAGTGTGGACTGAAACCTCTACAAATTGTGAGCTAAATAAACCTTTTCTCCCTTTAATTCTGGGTATAAGGTATTTTGTCTCAGCAACAAGAGAAAAGTAACCAAGACAGACATGCTTATCTCTACTGTGAAACACTAGAAATAATCAATTGTTGCCTGTATCACTGTAGTGATTATCAGATGAGGGGCTACTCGGTGGATCAAGTGTGAGATTCAAGA